GCTTGGCTCAAAATCCTTGGCAAACTGGTGTGTATCAACAACAAAGTGAAGCAGACGAGCTCAGTGGAAGAAACACACCCCAGTCTCTTAGAAGATCATCGAGGATCAGAAAGCTTAATTCAGAGTATGTCAATGCTGCCATAGTAGAAGAAGAAGATGAAAAAGAACTAGAGAAACTAGAGAATTTTGAGGAAGCATTCCAAAATCCGAAGTGGATTAAAGCTATGAAGGAGGAGATTGATGCGCTAGAACTGAATCAAACTTGGGAGCTCGTGATAAATCCAAGTGATGTCAAACCTATATCTTGCAAATGGATTTACAATATAAAGTATCACGCAAATGAGTTAATTGAAAGGCACAAAGCTCGTCTTGTAGACCGAGGCTTTTCTCAGCAATATGGACTAGATTATTATAAAACATTTAGTTCAGTGGCTAAGCTTACTAAAGTCCGGATCATACTTTCACTTGCTACCAGTAAAAATTGGAACCTATGGCAGATAGACGTAAAGAATGCCCTTTTGCACGGAGAGTTGGATTGGGAGATCTACATATGTCAAACAGTAGGCTTTCAGAATCAAGCTTATCCGGAGTATGTATGTAAGCTTTGAAAAACACTATATGGGTTAAAACAAGCACCAAGGGCATGGTATGGTAATTTTTCTGAATTTCTTAATCATAGTTGCTATTCTGTAGCACTTGCAGATTTCAGCTTGTTTTTGAAAGTTGTTGGAAAGAAACTAGCTATTGTGATAGTATATGTGGATGATCTAATCCTAACTGGAGACTATGAAGAAGAAATTCTTCTAACAAAGAAGAAATTTTCAGTTCGTTTTCAGATGAAGGAACTTGGACAACTCAACCATTTTTCTTGGCTTCGAGGTTGATTGTAACAAAGAAGGAATTTATTTGCATCAGAAAAAATATTTTAAAGGTCTGTTGAAAAAGTTTGGAATGTCGAATTGCAAACCAATATCAATACCATTGGAGAAAAATGCTAAGATGTGTGCACATGTAGGAAAAGACATAGCAGATGTGACGATGTATCGACGGTTGGTAGGTTGTCTAATTTATTTAACTCAGACTCGACATGATATTTCTTTTGCAGTTGGTGTGATGAATCGCTACATGCACAATCCAAAAAAGCACCATATGGAGGTTGTTCGACGAATACTAAGATATGTGAAAAGTACAATTGATTATGGTCTTTTGTACATGAAAGGTGAAGAATGCAAGCTAGTACGATATTGTGACTCTGACTATGCAGAGGATCATGATACCCGACGTTCAACAACTGGCTATGTGTTTAAGCTTTGAGATGGAGCGATTTATTGGTGCAGCAAAAGGCAATCAATTGTGCCGCTGTCAACAACAGAAACAGAGTAAAGGGCAACAGTAGTTGCTGCTCAAGAAAGTACGTGACTTATGCAATTGATGAAAGATTTACACCGAACAGTTGGTTACTCAGTTACCTTGTGCTGTGATAATCATTTAGTGATTTGCTTGGCTGAAAATCCTACTTTTCATGCTAGGACGAAACATGTGAAAATACAATACCACTTCATTAGGGAAAAAATGTTGCAAAGAGAGATTGACTCAGAGCATATAAAAATTGAGCAACAAATTGCAGACGTGTTCACGAAAGGCTTAAGTGTCCATAACTTTGAAAGTTAATGTCTACAACTAGGCATGGTTAAGACCGGAGCTGATGTCAAGAGGGGGTGTTAAAAGTTGTACAACATCAGCTCCTATTGTTTAGTTTGACTATGTCTGCAGTATAGCTATATTTTAGCTTCCAGTTGGTAGTTGTTTTCTTTTCACGTGATAGTTTCCTATTGTGTAGTATTTGAAGAATTGTGTTCTTAATGTTTAGATGAGTTGGTTTAGTAAAATTACAGTAATGGTTTAGTGGAAGTATGATTCCATAATATGTAAACCTATATAAGGCAACGAAACCTATTGAATAAAATCATCCAGCAACAATCTCTGCAGTAGAATTTGGTTATCTTTTGTTCTTCCTATAATTTCTTTTTTTCAACTATTGATTCCTCTATCATAGCTGTCTTTGTCAGCTTCGGTCCTAGCCATAATTTTATTCCTTTCTTTTAGAATATTGTTATTAACTTCTTATCATGGTCATATATATATATATATATATATATATATATATATATATATATCTAACTAAAACAATAAAATTCTTTGTTTATAAAATGGAAAAGTTGAAATAAAAGCGCATACTATTGAATTTCAGCAGAGAGAACTAAAAATGAAAGAAAAACTATAGTGCAATTCAAATAACAATTTTTATTTTTTATTTATCTATAAAAATTAGATATCCGTTGTAACGACCCTCTTAGTCATTTTAGAAATTTCAATCATTATCTTTATATTAACCTTTTTAGTAGATTTTATAGTTAATTTATATGACTTATAAGAATGAGTGACATGATTTTTAGATTTAATAAAAGATTATTTTGTTGCTAATAATAATGGGAAAAAATAGAAAAAAAAGAAAAGGAAATTAATTAAATAAATAAATAAAATAAAAAGAAAAGGGGAAAAGTGTCCTAAACTTTTAAAAGCATGTGATGGCTTATATGAGAAAAAAAATAGAAGAAGAAAGACTTGACCGTCAAAAAAAAAAGAAAGAAAGACATACGCAGAGAAGAAAAGAAAAGAAAGGGAGAAAAGAAAAGAAAAAAGGAGGAGCAAAATCAAAATTTTCATCTCAAGGCATCAAGGTAGTTATTTTCATCCTTTCTATTAAGTTTTAAATGTAATTAGGAGTAGATTTTTAAGTTAAAACGTGTATAATTTACACTAATATGTGAAACTAGTTTTTGATTTCGTGTACATGTATGCACATGTTATTTACATATAATTATGGACTAGAGGATATTAAATGAATTATTATTGTTGGTGGATGAAACAATAAATGTATAAAAGATAAGTTTTATGCTGATTAATACTTTTAATTCATTAAGAGTTAGATAGGAAATTGAAGTGGGTTACTGTAGGTTTGTAAAGAAAAAAGGATTGTGAGTTTGTTTTGAAAGTTAATGGTAATGGGTGGGTACTAAATATATAGGAATTTAATGTGTGACATATAGATTCTGAAAATTTGTTGGGGTTTAATTTTCTTTAAATCTTTCTCATAATTATTATGTAATTTGTCAAAGTGATAGTGTCATAACTAGTTATAGATGTGTAATTGGGTTTTTTAGAAATTATCGATGATGTTCCCTTTGAAAGTATGTCAAGATTTCCAATGGAATATTGATATGCCGTCAATAACCATTTTGGGATAATAATTGGACAATTATATTATATGGAAACTATTAGTGTTGTAGTGTTTGGAGAAATTATGACTTAACTCTTGACTTGAAATTTAAGAAATATGAGATTTGACTTATTAGTTACAATCAAGATTGAGAAACTTTATTATAAATTTGGATAAATTATTGGGTCAAAGTTAAACAGATAGTACTATGAGTGTTGTAAGATTTAAACTCTTATTGTGGTTATTCATTTGAATAGATTGTATTGATTTGAAAGTACAACAAAGGAGGAAGGCTAAAGTCCCGAAGTGATTGTTCGATAAATTGAGGCAAGTGGATTTCTAAACTCTTGTTAAGTGTATGAAATGCGTGTATTTCTTTGTGGTATATGTTTGGGAGTAACGGGATTGGTGATGGGTTGACTTGTCCACATTGATTAATTCTAATGATGAAAAAAAGGGATATAACAAAAGGCACTGTGATTAATTATATATGTGTGATGTGTTGAGAAAGGGATGAAGGCTTGTTGAATCATTGTTGATGTGATTTCATGTTTGTGTTGTTGTGAACTGTGTGATGTTATGAAAATGATCATCTCCTCATTATTTGTGTGAACTTGTCATCTGCATTATTCTGAGGCATTGGATGTGACAAGTCTTATGTGCATTGAGAAAGAATGAGTACTTAAGAGGATGTGCATTTCGAGGGACGTATCGCGCGCCGTGATGGATACATATTTCAAGGAACGCATTGCACGCCGCGATGGTTACTATTATTGAAGGTCGTGTCATGCGCCGCGATAGATGCATGGACAGATATTTCCCCCATGGGTCCCGGACTGAGAGACAGCAGGTGTGTATCACTAGGTCAGACATGCATCATTATACTTGACATTGCATTCCATTTCATTGCACATACTTATCATTAGTGAATTTGATATCCTGTTTTTCCGATCTTCTGATTGTCTTTCTGTGGAACTTGTGATTGATCAATATTGAGCTTGTTATTGCGGATTTGTAGTTTGTTAAAAGTGTTGTTGCTGAGGATATGTAATTTTTCTAATTGTTGTTATTGAGCTACGTGCTATGTAAATTGTGATCTGTTAGGTTGAGTTGATTTTAATGCAGGTTGTAGTTGTGGAGGTTCGCTGGGGGTGGTAGGAGTACCCGTATTTCATCCCCTTAGCCTGTGTTTAGAGGTTTACTTGCTGAGTATCATGTGGTTTGGTACTCACCCCTTGCTTCTACAAATTTTTTTGTAGGTTATGAGCCTGGATTTTTGTTGTACTTGTCATTCTTTTCTTTTCTCAGGCTTCTTAGAGATTTGTGAGGTAGTTGTTTCCATCTCAGCAGACTTTTTTCTCCTTAATTATGATCTTGTTCTATTCTAGAAACAAGTTCATTTGAGACTTGAGTTTTCATTTGAATCAATTGTAATATTTTAGAGGCTTGTACACGTGACTACCAAGTTTTGGTGTTTTTATTAAGTTACTTATATTTTATTTCCGCACTTATTGTAATGGTTGAGTTTTAGGCTGACTTGTCTTGGTGGGATAAGACGAGTGCCATCGCGTCCATTTTTGGGTCGTGACATCCGCTCGTTTTATTGTTGGTTACAAGACATTTCAAAGCACACCCGCTAATAACAACACATATTATTACAAGACTTTGAGACAACAGAGAGAACTAAAAAAAGAAAAAAAAAACTATAGTGCAAATCAAATGACAACTTTTATTTTTTATTTATCTATAAAAATTAGATATCCGCTCATTTTATTTTTGTTACAAGACATTTCAAAGTACACCCGCTAATAACAACACATATTATTACAAGACTTTGAGAAAACAACTTAAATCCAAGCATTTGGTATACATTGTTTCAATTATTCAGAAATGTTATCTTATTCATATCGATTTTTTCAAAATACATTATTTTAAAGAATTCGACATATATTTATCGATATTTTCAAAGAGTCCTCGTATATAATATTTATGTATCACTTAATGTGATAATTCTCAATATCTTTGGTTACATTGAGGAGTAATTCGATGAATGTGTGTGGATCTGGCACATTAGCATTTTTCTTTTCATATTCTATGATTAAAGTAACTAAATTATTTTCACCTTTTGTCTCAACATGAAAAGTGATATAAAATGATTTGTAATACTCTAATATATCTCCTTCAATTATCTTTTTTTTTAATTAGCTTCTTTTCTTCATCTATTTCTTCCACTTTCTCCTTTGCCACCACTTCTTTCCCATCTGTAAAACGAATTAAATATAGTAAATATTTCATACTATTAATTTCACTTTTAAATGAACGGGTGAGTTAGTTTGAATATCAACGGATTAAAAATGGATTGAGTCAATAAATAATAAAGAATAGAGATAATATTATTATATTATTCTTTGACTTTATTACATTTTTGTTTTAAAAAATGTGTTAGATGATAAATAATATTTAATACCAAAGGTAAATAATCTCTTGATTTTCTAAATTGGACAAGTTTTATTAGACATCTTTTTTTAATATATTTGACAACTATTGTTAGATAGAGAGAGTATTACTTGAATTTTTTTCTCTTATATATTTTTATGAAATTCATAATCTCTATTAATTTAAGAGATTTGTTATCCTAATAGATTTGGGAAAAGAAATATATTTTTTCCTTATAGGAATAATGGAAAGAACATTTTCCTTGAAGGATTGTGACTACTTATTTGTACGCTCTTTTTTTTTATAGCAGAAGACATTCTGTTTTTGCTTGAATAATTAGACCTAGATGAATTTTGTTAAATCCTTGTGTTATTTTTTTTCTTTATATTTTTTATTTGTAATTATGTGCTTATTAATCCACGATATTTCTGACACAATATTGATATCATATATATATTTGAAGAATGTATGAACCAAACATGTTGTGATAAATATAAAATCAAATAAAATAAAGGTTTACCATGAATGAAGTTCCAAAAGATAACAGAGTCAACTGTGCCCCATTCACCTTCATGAACATCCACATTTTGTATGTTATTAGGGGAAATGGTGGAGATATGGTGTGGCCTGTGCCTATATACTTCATAAAAAATATCTCCATCACACTTAATTTCTATCTCAGAAACTAACTTTCAATGGAGGCTCATTTTTCATCTATGATATTATATATCACAAAGTTCTAATAAAAAGTGTGTGGTTCAATCATTACATGAGATACTATTCCCTTTTATAGTTAGACAATGTCAATATTTCTAACCTCTAGATTATAATACATTTTTTTACTTTTTCTGCCTATACATAATTAGGCGTGTCTATGTATATACACAATTATTTTGTTCATGAGCATTTTTTAAAGATTGTCATACATTTAGTAAATACCAAAAGTGTTTTTAAGTCAAAGTCATAAGTTTGGTCATTTTTAATTTTATGATGATCATAATATCTCATAAATCATGTCTCGCGTTGTTAAAGAACTTAAGTCATGGTACGGATAAGTTCATTTTTTAAGAGGTTGAGGATTCAAGTCCCTCCTTCGGCTCCTGGCTTCGTTGTTTTGGGGTAACAAGTGGAGACCACATTAGAGATAGGGGCAAAAATACATAATCAACTAATAAAAGATAGAAATTAAAAACTGATTCTTTTAAAGATAAATCTATGCAATTAAATGAAAAAAGTCCATTTACATATTTTATATCGGATCCTTAAGTAAAGATTAATAAATCAACAGAATTATGTTCATATTTTGGTCTATAAGCAGGGACTGAGTCACCTGAATTGGACACCTTTCGTCGAAAAATTATACTATATATAAACGTACAGTTTTAATTTATATTGATACATACAGTATTTTCGACACCCTGAAATAACAAAGTAACCTGTGGTGGATATGGCTATAATTGTTGCAAATTATTTTGTTATTCTTAAAGTTTGTAAGTAAATAAACATGAGTTAGGACCCGTTTGGATGGGTTTAATAAAAGCAGTTTTAAAAAAATACTTTTGAAAGTGCTGAAACTTATTTTTAAAATAAGCAGTTATGCGTTTGGATAAAAGTGTTGAAGTTAAAAAAAAAGTTGTTGATGTGTTCGGCAAATAAGTGCTGATAAACAGCTTTTTAAATCAAAATGTCTGAAATACTCTTAAAAGCTGTTAACATAATAAAAGTTAATTAATTTATATTTTACACCCATAAATAATTATATTTTGCCATCATTCACATATTTCTTTCTCATCACAAATTATTTATAAAAGAATATAAACTTATTATAGATTTTAAAGATATATAATTTGAATAGATCAAAGAACGAATTAAAAAACAGAATATCTCAGAAATAAATCAGTTACGAAATACAATATCTCAGAAATCATATGTATGACAAATCACACGCCAAAAGTGAGTAAATGAAGCAAATCAAAAAACATTATCGGCATAGATCGAGAATTTTTTCAGCTGATTTTAATTTTTTAACATATTATCGGCATCAATCGAGAGAAAAGGAAGAAAGCTAATAAAAAATAATCGAAAAAACTTACTTCAAGGTTTATCTTCACTTAAAATTGGAAGAATAGGAAGAAGTGCAGCAACTATGCCAAACGTGAAAACGAAAAAATGGAAGAAAGAGATGTTAGGGTTATGTGGGTAATTTGGAGATTCTATAAAAATATTAAGGGCAAAAAGATAAAAATGTGGTCAACTTAAAACAGCTTATAAGCTAAAAAAAAAGACACCCCTACCCCAGCTTTTAACTTTTGGCTTAAAATAAGTTCTTTTTAACTTAAAATAAGTTATTTTGAGTAATTGCCAAACAGCTAAATAAGTCAAAAACCAGCTTTTAAGTCAATTTGACCATGAGTAAGTTTACTATAAATGATCAGTAGCTTGGTGGTAAATAGTGTTATGTTTGACTTGAGTGACCCGAGTTCGAAACTCACCTCTAATGTGTATTTTCTTTCAATTAAAATAGACCAATTTATCCAAATTAAATCACAATATTATTAGGGGGCGATTATCTCATAAGAATAACTATTCAATGATTATATTTGCTTATATATGTTGAGATTATATTAGCTTATATCACAATATTATTAGTAATGATTATATTAGCTTATATCACAATATTATTAGTAATGATTATATTAGCTTATATATATTGCGAATGTTATTAAATAATATTAGTAATGCATGAATTATTTTTTTCTCATATAGACAACCAAATACTATACTATCTCTTGGACGAAATTTTACGTTAGAGATCAATTATAGACATGTTTTGTAATAGAATTGGAGAGGGGACCTTGTCCATGCCAGTGCTAATACTACATATCCCTATCACTACTAATTTGTGTGCTGAAGCAATAGCCATACAAGATGGATTGCCTATTCATTGAGTTATTTTCTAAAGCTTTGACTATATAAATCCATTCATTAATTTTTCGGAAAAAGTTCTGAAAAATATTTTAATTTTGGACAAAATTATTGTTACAGTATCAAATTTTATAGAGGACTTTTTACCAATACACTATTTAATAGTGTATTTTAAATGTATATGTGCGCACGTGGACATATTACTATTTATAATTATGTAATATTTATGATGTCTACGTGGACACATATATACGTTTTAAATACATTATTAAATAGTGTAGGGGAAAAAAAGATCATTTTCAAAGTTTATTATGTTACAACAATTTTGATTAGAATTCGAATATATTTCAAACAATTTCCTCTTAACTAATTATAAGTGCGTATCTCTACCCTCTTATAATTAAGTAAAAATGTCAATATATCTAGACTCTAGACTATAAATTTCATATTTTCTTTGCCTATACATAATTAGGTGTGTGCATTGTACTTGCACACAATTATTATCCAATAAGCTACTTTTCTATTAAGAAAAGGTATTAGGTAAAGTTTCTAAGTGGTTCAACCTAGTTCATAAACATATTTTTTAAGCTTATCATATAGTTGACAAATACTAAAAGTAATTATAATTCGAAATCAACCATATATGTATTAGAAGGAGCTTTTTGTTATTAAACTATATGAAGTTTGAAGACGAATAAAGTAGAGAAAAGATAAAGATTTTTTATTCATCTTGAAGTATATTCAGGATTCATTGATCTTTCAATGATCTTATTTACAATGAAGGAAAACCCTTTATTTATAGGGGAAAATACCCAAGTACCCCCTCAACCTATGCCCAAAATCCCAGAGACACACTTATACTATACTAAGGTCCTATTACCCCCCTTGAACTTATTTTATATGTAATTTTCTGTCCCTTTTTAGCCTACGTGGCACTAATTCGAAAAAAAAAATCAACCATCGTTGGACCCACAAGATAGTGCCACGTAAGATAAAAAGGGGTAAAAAATTATTAATAAAATAAGTTAAGGGGTGTAATAGGACCTTAGTATAGTATAAGTGTGTCTTTGAGATTTCGGGCATAGGTTGAGGGGGTACTTGGGCATTATCCCTATTTATAGGGAAAACCTTACTTGATCCCCAAGTAGGATTCCTAACCATATCCTACAAGGACTACACATAATTAGACATTCACTATAACACAAATTGTTTATAACACTCCCCCTTGAATGTCATAGATAATGTGCATAGTTAAAACCTTACTAGAAAAAACCAGTGAGAAAAAAATCTAGTGAAGGAAAAAGAATACACATATCTAATAATAAACATTATGAATGCCTCATTAAAAACCTTACAAGGAAAATCTAGTGGGACAAAACTTTGTCAGGGAAAAAGAGTACATGGCGTATTAACTCTCCCTAATGACAACATCAATTCTGAGACTAGAATTTTCGTTTTCAAAACTTGAGCATCATCTTCCTGAAAGTTGTAGTTGGTAGAGAATTGGTGGATAAATCAATCGTAGTGTTACTTGAACAAACATGTTGCATGTTGATATCACCATTCTTGGGAGCTCATGAGTGTAGAAAAATCTTGATGAAATATGCTTTCTTCTATCTGCTTTTATGAATCTTTCCTTCAGGATCAAAAATTTCTGCAAGTTCCTTACTTCTACTTCTTTAAGCAAGTAATATATTGCCTTATGAAAACTCTTCAAGAGTTTTAATTATAGTCGTCAACTTGCATAATAATACTTGTATATGCTCTATGCATTTTGAATCAATATAATCCTTATGAGAATGATAAATCAGTTTTTCAAAAACTTGTATATGCTTTAAATTTTGAACTGATCGGATATTTTCATCTCAATTTTGTTAAGTAACAACGTTAGTGTTAGATGTATGACATCTTTCAGTGCCTAGATTGCAAGTTAAATAAATTTTACGCTTACCAAGATTCACCATTCCACTTTTCACTTGATTATTATTTCTACACCAACATGCTTTAATTGTCGTAGAATTTATATCATAATAATCTTTTACAATATTGCGTGATATTGTATCAAAGATACCGTCAACGATATATCATTTTGCATTGATTCACAATACGACATAATTTATTAGGATCTCATCACTTCATTATTTTTAGGTAGCTACCCCTCTCATGAGGTTTTATAAAGTGTTATGTCGTAAGATCTCCAGAGCACATTGTATCCTTATTATGATCATTTTGATTATTTGATCCTCCCCCTTTTTCAAGGATTATTTTATTTAGAATTGATTAGTCTATCATGCTTCATGCATGTCATAGACTCTATTGGACATTCAATAGGAGTATTTACAACTTTTGTGTTGCTTCTAATCTCCCCCCTTACGTTAGACAAACTAACATATATCTCTATATTTTGGAGAATCTATCTTTGTGCATCATAGTATATCCATTAATCATATTTTGCAAATCAAAATTATCCGATGAAAACTATTTGATCCCTGACCATAAACCAATTAATAATAAAAATGATCATAACTTATTGGTGTGATTCATATAATTACGTTTGTATGTAATATCATATTTCAGATCAACACATGAAACTTTATTTTCATAAATAATGATTCACTATGTGTGACATTTAGTGTCACATCATGTTATATATTTATCAATATTATCAAGGTGAATTATCTTGATTTCATATTTTGAAAGTTGTGCTTTTAGCTCAATCATCTTGCACAATTTGCGAATGTCAAACTGCAAGTTTACAACAAACGCACATGGCATTATCTTATTGATGCATCTTTTTATTATATCACATGATAGGTAAACGGGCCCATATTCACCTTTTATACTTTTCAGAATTTAGGGATTTAGTCCCAACTTTAGTTGATCCAATCAACTTTATCACGAGAACAAGCAACGTAAAGAATTCTCGAAGAATCTTCTAGTTTTTCAATGTATGTCCATTACTTAGTATGCACATCTTTGAGATGACCAAATTATTCATGCCAACTAATAAAATTAGTAGTACTCGTAAATTCCAAGTTTACTACGCCATGTGTCTTTTGCTTTAGTAAATTTCTGATTTATTATTTTATGAGTAAATTTTAATTTTATCATCAATATGGTGCATTCAGACTCAAACCCAACGTCTTATGCCATAAATAAATGAGGGACTTGAATCCAACATCTTTCACCACAAAGCATCAAGACTTCTTATGTCTTACCCTCTTGATGCGATTGGACATAAATGCATCGTCTTATTCTTTTGGTGCGATAAAACTTAAATCTATCGTCTTACCCATTATGAGGCTCAACCTCAAGCCTTCAAAATAATTGTAATTTTATCACCTTAGATGATAATTAACATAATTGTACACTATAATTACTCACAAAGTTGAGATTATTGATTTATTATAATCAACATTAGTCGTTAATAAATATAGCTTAATAGATGACATACCTCATAAAAAGGTCGAAAACATACTTTTCACTAAATTGTGCTTATTTAATTATTAAAATAAATTAAAGAATTCTATTCCAGTCGATTAAAATTGAAGGTATAAAAAGTCAACAAGTCTCTTTAAATACTTACTTTAGATGGTACCTCCAGATCTGTTACATAAATAGTTATAACATAAAGATAAATCATACATTGAAGATATAAGAACCTTATTGCATAACTTATGCAAGATCTCTT